CCAGGTCCCTACTGTGGCAGCTGGTTTGATAATGCAGTTTTAAGTAGTTCCCTCTCTCAGTTCCCCACTCCTCTGTGGAAGTTCCTTCCTCCTTCCAAATGATCTATTAGTAGTCAGATTCCTGTCTCAAATTCTAGGAACCAGATTCGATAGGTGTTGTTTCACTTGGGAATCAGGCAGATCTTCCAAGGAGTGGTTTTTTATGCCACGTCTCAAAGGTAGGCATTCATGAAGACAGGACAGGACGTATAAGGGCTGAGATGGAAATGACTGAATCAGAGGAGAGATCCCTGGTGTGCGGGCTCCTGGCAGGGACTGGAGGTCCTGGTTACCGTGAGGGCAGTACTGCTGGGTGGCAGTGGGTCCAGGGTGGCTAACGCTGGGGACCATTTTCTAGCCAATAGTAACAGGAGTAGACAGCAGTCACACTCGTAGGGAGAAAATCCCAGGGACTGAAGCAAAGCTTTCAGAAATGAATTTTGAGCTATCTACTGTCTGTCTAACCAAGGTGACAGAGGGGCAAGGAGGCATTGTCCTGGCGTGTCCATGTCCAGTGGGAACTACATGCATCTTGTGTGCCACAGGGCGTCTCTGGCTAAGAAAGAGATGTCCAGAAATGGGAGGGCGAGGCGAGAGCCCAGGTGTCCATTGTCTCCATCACGACAGGCATGACTCTGGGGTCTTCGCATTGCTTCCTCCCCACCGATACACACGCCTGCTGCCTCTGGCTCCTCTCACAGTGTCTCTCCTCCTCTCTGTGTGGAGTAGAAAGGGCGGAATCTGGGGCTGTGGGGAGTGGGGGCGGCATTAAACTGTCCAGACATAACCTAAGGATGAGTTTAGTAAAATGTCTCTGCTGCCTGGAAATTCTGAGCAGAGCCCATCAAGACTGGGAAAGACAAAACCAAATTGAGTTGAGCTACAAAGAATAGGCATGAACGTCTTCAAGATGCCCATGCTCTCTGCCAGAGTCGTCCTCCAGGCAGCTCAGCTAGGGAGAGGATACTCGCTTGATGGGGACATGCTATGGATGTTGTATGATATGGTCGTGCCCCACGCAAGGTCACTAGCGTCCAGGGCAAGTAGGAGGGCGACCCTCACCTGCTGTCCACTCACCGAGCCATGAATACTGTTGTGGGCTGCATCAGCCCAGAGAAAAGTCACTCTCTGTTCTAATTGTTCTGGCCCAAAGGGGTGCCTTTTGCTAATTCCTGACCCAGAAGGAGAGCACCTTTTTGTGTCATCTGAACAATGCCTCTGGGCAAGCTAGCCGTCCTGCTGAGGGCAAGTGGCCAGACATAGTCCATTCTTCTACCTGGTCTCCCAGAGGAGCAGTGGGTGGGAAAGGGAGGAAGGGAGACCCAGAGCAACTTGTCCCCTCTGGAAGCCTGTGCAGCCTGGACCTGAGAATCTGGTCCGGGGTCTCAGGAGTTCCAAGAGGAAGGAGGAAAAGAGTAGAGGGGACTCCTTCTGCCTGCCATGGGCCTGGACTTAGAACTGGCTTCTAGGAGTTCTTGCTTCTAGAATGTCTCTGGTCTCAAGACGCCAGCTGCAGCCCCAGGCCCACCTAATTTAGTAGACCCTGTGGAGTACAATACAGGCCAGTTCTGTCTCCAAGAACCATCAAAGCACCAATTCTAGCAGCAGCCCAGCAGAGTCTGCCTGCCCTGTGGAGGTAGGAGGGGTTCACACAGACTGCCTCACACAGAGTGCCAGGAAGCAGCTTTGAGCACTAGACAAGACATACGGTGGGTAAAGCACTGGTGGGTCCTAGCACAGCCTTGAACTTGTCGTGGCCCAGATGGAGAGATGGACCATAAAATAAACAAGTACCTCTAGTCAGTGCCAGTGCTGGCACTCATTTTGAATGAGTGAATGAAAGATTTAATGAGTGAATGAATGGAGGAAATACAGAGAACTGTGCTCTCCTGGCCTGGGGGGAATCAGAGAAGGCTTTCTAGAGGAAGTGATATGAAACTGGGAGGATGGAATTTAGCCACGTGCTGTAGGAGAGAGGGGAACAGTGTTCTCAAAAGAGGAAACAGCACTTGCCAATGCCCAGGGGTTGGAAAACCAAGCCGTTGTGGCAGAACCTAGAAAACCCGCGTTGGTCTCCTTGGGTTATGGAGGTCAGGACGGGGAGGTCTGGAAGAAATGAGGACTGGGTCGTAAAGATCACGGTGACCCAGGACGGAGACTGCAGGTGCATCCAACAGCAGGAGACTCTTCTAAGCGAGCAGGAGAGGTTGGTATCTGCAGACACCGCAGGGCATCGTACCTTGGCCTCTGTTTCCTGGTGATGATGCGAAAGCATGGTGTCTCGTGGAGTCCTCAGCTCTGACCACACAAGTGGCACGTGGCCAAGTCACAGGCAGGTGGAAACAACCTGAAAGCCCCCCGTGTGGGTGCAGAATGTGGGGTTGAGAAAGTGAACGTGGCAAGGTCCCTTTCTGGAAGCCACGAGCTCTGAGGGGCCCCACACTCAGGGTGTCCTTGCCCGTGGGGCGGATGCCCCTGTCCTTGCATGGAGGCTTTGAAATGGGTAGTCAGGACTGGAGAGAGAGGCCTGGCTGAATTCCTCCAGGTAGGGAGCCGGGAGGCACTGGAAAGAAATCACCGCACTCCCAGACCGCTGCCCGTGAGCTCCGTTCCAGCCTCGTTCCTGCCAGGATGCGGTTACCCGACTGGCTTGTGACACACAGGCTGCCAAACACTCACCACCGCTGGATCAAAGATTCCTTGATCCCAGCCCTAAAGCTCAGATCCCAGGGTCGAGCTGGCTGGTGTCACGTTTCCTCATTCCTGCCACAAGTGCCAGGAGAACACGTTAGTTAGCACTGAGCTCCAGAGGTGGGGAAGACGTGGCAGGGAAACAGGAAGACAAGCTGAATGGGAACAGGGCCTATACTATAAAGGAAGTCTAATTTGAAAAAAACTCCAGCTGGGCAACTTTGTTCTAAACCCTCTTCCCCCACAGGCAAAGCTAGCCAGATCACCAGGCAGCTCAAGCAGCAGCTGCACTGGCTAGGACCCAGTAAAGCATCACCTTGGCGGTGTGCAAAGCCTCCTGAGAGAATCCTCAGAGAAAGCCCTGCCTTCCCAGGCCAAGGTGCTGTGGGGAGAACCTGCCCCAGGGCCTCGGTCCCTCCCTTCCCTTCCTGCCTCTGGCCCTGTCCAACACCATCACGAGGCTGTCCCAGACACTCAGGTGGACACCTCAGCCTGATGATCTAGGTTGTCTCCAAGTGGCCACCCTTGGACCCAGGAGCTGGCACATTGGAAACATGATCTGCCCACAGGAGAACTGACCCATGGGTGAAACCTCCGGAGACCCCAGAAAGGGGCTTAGGGACCATTTAAACAGAGAATTCTGGGATCTCAGCCTCCCAGACAATGACTAGGGGGTGGGGAACGGTTTGGGGGGTGGTACCCTCTTGGCCACACAGATTTCTCACCCCATCAAGATGGTCACTGCTGGAGGAGGCCCAGGGCTGGGACCCTGTTGTCTGCAAAGGAGCATGGTACCATTGGCAGGGCCAGAACTGAACCCACTGTGTCATCCCCGCCATGATGCTGGTCTGAACGTTGCGAGGAAAACCCTCCGTGATGCTTCTGAACGCACAGCTGCCTTTCTGGGTGCAGGCCACACACTTCCTTTCCCTGAACTGTCCCAGATCCGTCCCAGATCCGCTGCAGTAAACAGCGTCCCGGGGTGGGAGGGCCCTTCTTCATCCCCAGTCACCCCAAAGCCAAATCTCCAAGCCCCTCCCAATGCCTTCGTTGTGAACACAGCCTCCAGCCCCCATGGCAAGATAGAGGAGTACTCAACCCCTCCCCACCCCTTTGCATTCTCAGCAAAAGTTTCCCCTCATGCAGCGTGGGCACTAAGGGATTGGCCAGGTTGAGTAGACGAGAAAACCAAGCACCATGGATGCCCCCACCCCAGTCCACAGCACTTAAAAAAAAAAAAAACCCAAACGCAACTACGTTCAGGGCCAAGTTTGAGGATGTGCAGAGAGGTGTGTGTGTTTTCTTGTCATTTGCGACTCTAATGATGGACTCACTTGCCCGCTCTTCCCTTTCTCTTACACCTTACCTACCTACTAAAGGAGGAGTTCTTGCTTGGTAAGTGGATATGATCCGCAAAGACATGAGAGCATTTATTAGAAGCCACTCAAGAATCCTTAGATACCTTCTACCAGGGGAAAAGGACGCACACGAGTACCTGTAGAGACCTTTTTGTTTGTTTCTTTTTGGTCCGACTGTTTGACTTCCATTTTTTTTTGTCCCCTGCCCCACCCTATTATTTTCCCTTTCGTTGAAAACTGCTAAAATGTCAGTTTGCGACCTTGACTTTAAAGCAGAACCAGAAACTCTCATCTTTATTTGGTTTCTTTTCCCCATGTGATATTTGTTGAGGGTTCTATTCAGGCAACTTTTTTCTATTAAAAAAATTGTTTAACTGAGGATTTGGTTGAAGTTTAAAATTTTAGCTTTATCTCCAGTTTTCTTTTTTGTTTTCTTTTTTATTTCCGAGATATATTTCTCCCCCTAGGCCCCGTAGCCCCCCCCCCCCCCCGCCCCATTTCTTTTGCCCTTTGCCCTTCCTTTGTTTTTTATTATGGTTTTAGGTTAAGGGTGTCTACACCCCCTTTCTATTGAGTTGTCTCTTTTGTTTGAGTTCATTCCGTAGAGATTAAATTTTGTATAATTTCCTTTTTCTTTTCATTTAATCTGGATCGCATGCGTTTTTCTCTGCATGATACCTAAATCTTCCCGTTATTCTAGCAGGGGGTTAAAAAAAATAAGAGAGAGAGAGATCTCCTTTCTGTGGTACCCTTTGAGGAGTTTGTGCTTTTGTTTTTTGGCGTCTCTTCTTTCTTCTCCTCTCTCTCTTTCCTTTCGTTACAGTGCATCATCACGGTAAACATTTCTTGGTTATTTAGGCACAGCCCAGGCCGCCACGCTCAGCGGGGTCCAACGGGTCTTTTTGCTTTCAGATCTCTGGGTCGGGGTCTGCTGCTGAACTCTTTACCAAAGCAGCCAGCCCGCTCGCCGCCTCGCGGGGCCGCTCCCAGGAGTACGACTCCGGCAACGACACCTCCTCGCCGCCGGCCACGCACGCCAGCTCGGCCCGCTCCCGTGGCCAGGACAAGGGCAGCCCCGGCGGCGCCGGCCTCGCCAGGAGCCGGGAGCTCGCCAGTGGCAACACCTCCGATTCAGGGAACTCTTTCACCACCTCCTCGCCCCAGAACAAGGGGGCCACTTCGGAGAACCTCTCCCCGACCAGCAGGGGCAGGGAGTCAAGGTCAGTGCACTTGGTTGGGCCTGGGAGGGTCCCTCTGAGCCCCACCTCTCCCTGCCCAGCCCCCATCACACAAGGAGTCTTTTATGCCCAAGAGAGAGAAAACTCGGCTCAAACTGGCTTTTTTTATTTTTATGATTTTTTTTTTTTTTGGAAGACAGAAAGGGAGAGAGGGAAAGAGAGGGAGAGAGATCTTTCATCCACTGATTCACTTCTCAGATGGCTACAACAGTCAGGGCTGGGCCAGGCTGAAGCCAGCAGCCAGGAGCTTCTTCCTGATCTCCCACTTGAGTGCAGGGACCCAAGCTCTTGGGCCATCTTCCGCTGCTTTCCCAGGTGCATAAGCAGTGAGCTGGATCAGAAGTGGAGCATCCAGGTCTTGAACCAGTGCCCATTTAGGATGCCAGCCTTGCAGGTGCTGGCTCTACCTGCTACCCCACAATGCCAGCCCCAAACTGACTTAATTTAAAGACAAAAACAAGGCACTAGCATCAGGTATGGCTGGATCCAGGGGCTCCAGGTACATCCCTGGGAATTTGTATTCCCCATTGCCTCTCTTGGCTCTACTTCCCTGCTCTGTTGGCCTCATGCCGAAAGCATTGGAAAATTTGCACAGCACCCATTCTATCAGGGTAGCCAGTCAATGGGATAAGTGCCTCTTTGCCCAAAATTTCAGCAAAACACCTGGGCTGGTGCCATCGGCGTGGGCCACGTGCCCATCTCTGGACTAGTCACTCTGTGCCCTTGGCTGGAATGTGTCACACGCCGCCCTCAGAGCTGATACCCATAGCTTTTCCTCATTCCTCTGCAGGAAAAGCCATTGAGAGCAGGAGAGGAGGGACAGAAGCTGGGCAGGCAAACACGTGTAGTGTTTCCCAGGAATCTCAGGAGAAAACCTAAAGTCAGAGTCGTTATAAGTCACTGTCAATTAAAAGTATGCCACAGTATTTAGCCAAATGAATGAAAACATAGACCCATACGGAAACCTGCACGCGGATTGACAGCAGCTTTATTCATAGTTGCTCAAACTTGCAAGCTACCCAGAAGTCCTCAGTAGGTGAACAGGTAAACAAACTGTGGTCCAGCCAGACCCTGAGGGGTTACTGAGCACGAGAGAGAAGTGCCCTAGTAAGTCACGAGGAGATATGGAGAAGGGGCAGGTGTTGGACCTAGAAGTTAAGATGCCCACATCCCGAAGCAGGGTACATGGGTTCAAATCCCAGCTCTGCATTCGGTTCCAGCTTCCTGCCACTGAAGGTGACAGTGGCTCAAGTGCCTGGGTCCCTGCTGCCCACGTGGGAGACCTGGGTTGAGTTCTTGCCTCCTGGCTTTGGCCGGCTCCAATCCCAGCTGTTGCAGGCATCTGGGGAGTGAATCAATGATGAGAGTCCTCTCTCCACCCCCACCTCCCACCTCTCTCCCCCACTTTCTCTCCCCTCCTCTCCCTCTCCCGGCTCCTCCCTCTCCTCCCTCTCTCAAGTTTTTCTTTAAAAAAAAAAAAAGCTGTAGAGGAAATGGACATATGTATCACTGAGTAAAAGAAGCCAGTCTGAGAAGGCCACACGTATGGTTCCCACTTGATGGCCTCTGGTAAAGGCAGAGCCGTGGAGACAGTGGTCACCAGGGCTGAGGGGAGGGAGGGATGAGCAGACGGAGCAGAGAGGGTTTTTAAAGCAGTGAGGCCGCTCTGTAGGACACCACCCCGGTGGAGAGCGGTCACAAGAATGTACAACATGAAGGGTGAACCCAGTGTCCGCTGTGGACTGCGAGTGGCAGTCATGCGTCAGGGTGGGCCACTCCAGCGGGGGACACGGCCGTGCATGTGTGAAGGCAGCGGGGTACAGGGGAACTCCCTGTGCTCTCCACTCGGCTGTGCTGTAAAACTAAAACTCTTCTAGTTTAAACACACGCACCCACACGTGTGACATATACACACATATACCTGGATGACTGTCAGTAGAGGGAGATCAGGGTGTCACTGAACACCGAGACCCTTCCCCCTTTTTTCCCGTCTTAATACCCATGCAAGGTCCAGTTTCTCTGCAGAAAACACTTGCCTATTGTAACCTGTGACCTGTTGTAATTCTACTGCTTCATCACCCCGCTCAGCTCTCTCACAAACGCTGATCACCGAGGGCATTGGCACAGCAATAGCTACTACAGTTTCCTGATCCTTTAGTCTGTCCTGTTCAGCCAGTTATTTATCCCACAACTGGGTACCAGACACCTTCTGTGTGGCATGGTCTCATACAGACCTGCTCCTTGGGAGCTTACAGTCAATGGGGCAGGTGTACGGGGGCGGGGAATGACTTCGTGGGCTCACTCTACCATATGATCAGCGTAGTGGCTGCTGCTTCCAGGGGTGAGAGTCTGCCAGGCTTTCCAAACGATGGCCAAAGCCACAGCCCTGAAGCAGTGAACAGCTTCCTCAGGGACATAGAACTCTTCCTCCCTAACACATTGCCCCCTTCAGTCCAGGACAAACCACTTGCAGCCACTTGCAGCCCTGGTCTTTGTTGTGCCTGCTCCAGGACATCCGTGGCCCCAGCTCACACCCAAGCCTGGCTGGGAGCCAGAGCAGGGTTAGAGCAAATGTCAGTGTGTCCAAGAACAGGCAGGAAAGTTCCTGGATGGGAGAGGGAAGACGTGTGTCTGTGGGTCTACAGCTACTACGCAAGGAAAAAGCCAAAAATAGCAGTAACAACAACAATGATAACGACTGCTAATGTTTACCTGGCTCTAACCACATGCTAGGTACTATGCCAAGTACTTTTCGAGAAAACTCTTCCTTAGTTCCCCTTAAAACCTTTGCAGATAGGTGCTATCTGTCGAGATAGTGAAAGATTATATAACGGTTTTTTTTTTCTTTTTTGTTTTAGCTAATGGGGAAAGTGAACCTCTGAGTGGCTGAGACACTCAGTTAATAAGTGGCAGTGCCAACATTCAAATACAGATCTCTCTCCATAATTAGAGCTAAAACCCTCAAAACTTCTAGAAGGTACCTGCTTAATCTGATCTACACGGACAGACAGATTCACTAATTTAGACCCAACCTTTCACCTTGATACATAAATGATGGTCAAATTTATGCCTACTTATGTCACTGCAGCTATGAGCAGAGGGCTCTATAAATATGGCTGTACATCAGAGAAACCATCCAAGGCTGGTGAGCTGGGGCGGTTTGGAGCTGGCCAGATCAGGGCTTGGGACTCTGAGTGTCCTTGCGCAAGTGACTCACCCTTCTGAGTCTTCACTGTAACTTGAGGATAGCAGTAGGGCCAGCTGCTGGAGGTTGTTGGGAAGACTAAAGAAACAGTGCTTACGAAGTCCCTAGGGCACTGCAGAGGTTCAGAATGCCCATCCCATGGCTACTTATTGATAGCCTGTGCTGTTAGGTACTAAGTCCTGTGCTGGGTGCTACAAAATACAGTGTCCAGAGAGACGTGAGTCCCGTCCTAAGGAGCTCAATGTCTGGGACATTATGGTTACAAAGCTAAGTGGTCCATATAGGGATAGGGGAAACCTACGGTCTAGGGTCTGTTTGAACAGACCTGGGAGATGGGGGTAAGGCGAGGTCAAACTGAAGTCAGAACCATGACTAGAATGAGCCAGGTGAAGAGGGGAGAGAAGAGGGTTGCAGACAGCCAGAATGCTCTAAGGCTTGTGGACAAGAGAGAGAACAAGGATATTCCAGGGGGAACCAATAATCTCTTGTAGCTGGAGTCAAGAGAAAGAAGAGTCAAGAGCTGCCCCTGGAGGGGTGAGCAGGGACCAGGTCACAATGAGCTTGGAAACCAGTGTGCGATTTGGACTTGACTTTTGGCCCAGTCTTTACTGAGAACCCAGAAGGACTGTGGTATGGCCCTGGACAGGATGAGAAGACAGCAGACAGAACCCTGGCCTTTGGATGATTCTGAACAAAGTTTCACCCTTTTCTGGGTCTTACCTTCTCCATCTGCAAAGTGGGCGACACCAAAGTATCACAAACTCAAACCAACAGTCTACCGATGTCTACCATATCTGTGTACTACTCAAACTCTCACTTTACAGAAATCAGTTTCCATACAGTCAGGTACCACAATGTTTCAGTCATGACAGACAACATACATGACAGCAGTTCCATGGGATTAGAATGAAACTGGAAGATTCCTTCTGCCTAGTGAGGCTGCACCCATTGTTACTTCATAGCACCATCTCGGGTATCTGTGGTGATGCACCTGCCAGCTGTAGAAAAGTATAGCACCTGCAATTATTCACGGTATATAATACTTAATAATGACTGGTTATGTTGCTGGCTTATGTATTTACTACACTATACTTTTCATCGTTATTTTAGAGTGTACTCCTTCTACTTATAAAAAAAAGTTTACTACAAAGCAGTATGTCATGTTATGCCAACAGCAGCCTCACTCTGTAGCTTGTGGTTTACCTATTCCATTTAGGTTTGTGTAAGGTCACTCTATGATGTTCACATCAAACAACAAAGTCGCCTGGTGATACATTGCTCAGAAAGTACCCCGGTCGCTTCTCATTAAGCAACCATGACTGGGTATATAAACTCAAAGGAAAGGAATACGTATCATTTAAAATAAAAACAAAAGCGGTATCATCTGTCCCACAAAGAAAGAACCTGTAACCACACATTTAACTGTAGTTGGTTACATTTGCAGGCACGAGGCTCTGAGCCTGAGGTCTGCTTCCTCTCTGAGAGATGATGAAGTTCTAAGAGAAGTGTTAAAGACCTGCTAGCACCCCGCTGTGACTTGCTCATGAACGTGAGCAGGACTGAAAAGAACTCGAAATGGAATAAATCCCTCCTTGTGTGATGTATGTCACTGAGCACCATGCCCATGCCCAGTGGCCTGGCATGCACTGAAGGGCCCCTGTGGGATGTGTCTCACACTCGGGGGACGCTGAACTGGCTCATCCACCTCTTCTGTCTCTACTCCTCTAACACCTCTGGCCTGGGAAGTCTTTTCAGAGGTGGTGGGATGGGAAAGGTGGAAGCAGGGTCCTGTGAGAACACGCCGCCGCCCAGACAAAGGCAGGGAGGTGAGTCATTGCCCAGGTTGCCCCCGGAGCAGCAGGCAGCCCAGGGCTCACGGACATTCTCCCTCCTGCAGAGGATTTCAGTCGCCCTGTCTGGAATGCACCGAGGTGAAGAAGTCCAGTCTGGTCCCGTCCACAGCCCGGAGCTCACCCGTGAGAGGGTGCTCCCGCAGCTCCTCCTACGCCAGCACCCGATCATCCAGCCATTCCTCCCGGTCCCCAAACCCCAGGGACTCCTCCAGGTACACCCGGAGCAGATCCACCTCCTCTGAAAAGAGGTGAGTGCAATTTTGACTTTTGCTCTGCTACACTTTCCTCCTCAGGGAGTTAGTTAAGGTGACTAGAGATGTCCTTTGACCCATGAGGGAAAGGAATGAGACACAGCCACATTTGCATACCTGTTCTACCCACTACTAGCTGGTGTCTCAGGACAGTCATGTAACCTCCGTGAGCCTCAGTTTCCTCATTTGCAAAATGAAAACATAGAGGATTGCTCTGAGTGCTATTAGCACATACGTGACATGACAGTATGTTAGCACTCAGAGCAGTACTTGGATATAGTGTTAGTTATTATCGCTGCTGTTGCACCAGGAGCTAATGTGGATGAATTGGCTTCTGCTGCATAAAAAGTTACCCCAGTACGTAGCATCCCTACACAACAGTTAGTCCCTGATTCTCTGGATCAGCACTTTGGACTGGGCTCAGCTAGGTGGTTCTTCTGCTTTCACTGGGCTTACTCATGTGCCTTTGATCTCCTGGAGGCCTGGATGACAGCTGCTTGGTGTGGATGACCCCATGATCCCAGTGGACTTATACCCGCCTCACGTGGTCTCTCATTTTCCAGCCAGTCTGACTTGGCTCATTCCCATGGTGATGGCAGCATCCCAAGACAGAGAGACCAGTACTGGGAAAGGCTCCTTTAGTCTTGGGCTTGGAAATGACCTGCCACGTGTTCTGCTATTCTGTTAGCCACACAAGTCACAAGACCCATCCAGAGACAAAGACGTGGAATCACACTGCAGAGGGTACAGCTATAGGGAGAAGAATTCTTGCCATTCTTATGCTCCACCACCCAGTTCCAATAACCATTTCCAACAATTGCCTGATTGTCTCATATGGAATGATGTTGTAGTAGAATGTACAGACACAAGCCTCAGGAATTGGAAGATTGCATCCGATCTAATCAACCCATGGCTTCATGGTGTTCTGCTTCCCTCTGCAAACAGAACTCCTCAATAGCCATTGGTTTCTTTGTGCAATCCTATAATAATCCTAATAAAACAGTTACTTGCTTAGTTGGTTATTTTAAGAACAGTCTATTCCAAGAAAGGAGGCAAGGCAGCTGACAAAAAAATTCAACGTGATAGAGTGATATAAATAGAAAAGCAAACCAAGCTAAAAGGAAAATTAAGGCAAGAGATATAATATTAAGTTAGGAGAAAGGTTAGGTCCCCAAAGACATGTCCTGCTGTTCTACATGGCTGCTGTGGAGGTGGGCTGCAATTGTGACCTCTGAGCTCCCTCACAGACAAAGCAAAGAAGGAAAGCGTTCCAGTAAGTGTTACAGTATTAAAAATTTACTTTGCCATGACTGTCTAGGAGAGAGATATGAGTACACAGAGCTCTGGAAGATGAAAATGAAGTCCAAGCTAGAAACCAGATCTCGGTAGGTCCAATGCCATTGTTAAGAGTATGTATCTGGTAGCCTTGAGACATTATGAATTTGGCCTCTCTGATCATTGATGTGTTGAAGATCACCAAGCAAATTTTTTTCTTTTGAAAAAGTAGAAAGTCCTGAAGGTTCTTTAAAGAGCAGAAACATTAAAAAAGTGATCAAAACACACTGAACTGCACCGCCTTTTCAAGTCGTGGTTGACGTCCGTGGCACATCGCAGTTTGCTTCTCTTCCTACACCCAAAAGTACAGTTCAGAACATCAGGACTGTTTATGATGTAGCCCAGCTGCCTAGCAGGCCTGGCACAAAGCACTCCTCAAGTATTTGTGGAGTAAAAATAATATAATAATAATAATAATACCGTGATGTTCTTAAAGCAAAAGAATTGAGCCACTTGCTTGGAAGAGCAGCTATTTCTGATTTTTCATAGAAGTCATGGAAAACGACTCCTGTGGGGAGTGCTACAGCAGAAGTGCCCCCCAACGTCCTCCCCGCGTGACCCTGCATCACTCATTCTGGAGCTCTCTGATGGTATCTTTCCACGTGCAGCCAAAACCAAACTCTGCAGGCAGCGTAGCAGGACCCTAGGGTGCTGAGATCAGAGGAGCTATTCTCCCTGCGCTTTCTCTAAAAGTGGTGGGCATTAGCAGAGAAGGAAAAGGACTGGAAGAAGGCATTCGTGTAGGGGCTGGGAATTGGGGTGCACGACTGTGGTCTAAGAACGCAGAGCATTCTGGAGCCACACCAACCGGGGTCCCGGGTGCCTGCGAGGCAGACAGGCCTGGTTTCATATCCTGCACCACCTGAGTGACCCTGAGCAAGTTACACGGCTGCTCTGCACCCCTGTTTCTCCATCTTTAAGAAGAGACTGATAACGATACCAAAACCTGGGGCGTTGAGGACTCAGGAGGTAACGCACACGAAACGTGAATTCCATGTCTGGCACACGATAGAACGTCTCATAGCCATCACTGACACTTGCCACCTGCTGGCTCACTGGCGACTGTGCCAGATGATTTGCCCTAACTTAGCTGATGCCACAGCTTTGTAGGAGCCGTCCCGTTACCACCCCCATTTTACAGATGAGAAAAATGAGGCTCAGAGGAGCGAAGTCGTCCGCCTCAGGTCGCACAGTGCAATGAGTAGCCCGGGTAGTGAGCACTCAGATAGAGGACGTTGTCCGTCTTAACCACCCAACGGGGAAGGGGTTTTGTTCTCTGCTTAAGGTCCCAGGCCTCGGCCTGGGGACTCCCATGTACGAAGTGCTGGACGGCCGTCAACCCCAGTGGACGGATGCTGTACAGGCCCCTCAAGGGCTGTCCCCTCCCCCCCAGGTCCTACTCCCGCTCTCTGAGCTACTCCTCCAAGTCTGGCAAGAGGAGCCCACCCAGCAGAAGCTCGCGATCCCGCCGCAGCCCCAGCTACTCCCGCTACAGCCCCAGCAGGTAAGGCCCCGCCCCCAGGTCTGGCCACGCCCCAGGACAAAGCTCCGCCTCTCAGCCCCACCCCTTCGCCCCAGTCGTCCTTTTAAGCCCCGCCCTCGCCCTGGTGGATGGAAGCAGTTGCCTTGATCCAATCAGGAGTGGCACCCAGGCCCAGGTTCACCTGTGTCGTGATGTCCCCACTGCCAGCACCCCCACGGCCGCACCCCAGAACCCATGGCCACACCCATCAGCCTCCTCACCCGCATCCCTATTCTCACTCGCACTCTGGCCCCAGCGGCGCCTGCATCTGGTGGCTCCCACCCGCCAAGGCGGGTCCACGCAGGCTCTTCCCCAAGGCCCGGGGCAACCCCAGCCCCAGCTCCCCAGTTACCCGCCGTACCCCTCTAGGGAGCGGGACCCCAAGTACAGCGAGAAGGACTCGCAGCCGCGGGGGCACGAGCGCGCGCGTCGGAGACGGCGGTCCTACTCGCCCATGCGCAAGCGCCGGAGAGACTCCCCGAGCCACCTGGAGGCGCGGAGGATAACCAGGTGAGGCCGCCCTGCCTCCCACCCGCGGTCCCGCCCGTTCGGGTCCCGAGCCCTCCGCCTCAGCCACCGGGAGGCCGGCATTTAGGGACCTGTACAGCTTTGAGACCTTCAGCTCCGCACCCCAGCCCTGCCTCTAGGATCAATCAACTCCCGTCCCGCCCCCTGGGGCCTGCGGGGGGCGGGGCCAGAGAAGGGATGGGGCCATCCTGGGAGTGGGTGTGGCCTGGAAGGTGTCTAGGAGTCTGAGGGTGGAGCCTGGCAGGCAGGGCTGGGGAAGGGAAAGGAGTCTGGCCTGGGAGTGGGAGTGTAGAGCCAGATGCACAGCCGTGGACTCGGTATTGGCCTGGTGATGGAGTCTGGCATTGGAGACAGACGGCACCCTCAGGCCCACCTCTGGGTCTACTGAACCAGGTGTACAGAGAGCTGCAGGACTACCTGGGTGCTGGGGGCAACTTGGAGGGCGCCTTAGTGGCCAGCTCTGGATTTCGAGCCCAGTCCTGGCCGAGCCACTCCCACGTGACCTGGGAAAGCCTCTCCACTTCTTCCAGTGGTAGGAAATAACTCTCCGGATAGGAGGAGGGTGAGTTGAAAGGGAGCACAGAGATGAGAGCCCGTGCCTTGTGCACTGAGACGCAGCGTGCACCGGGTGCCCTTGCAACTGGCCGTGTGGTCGGAGCAGGTGCAGGTGGCTGGCGGTGCCACGTGAGGTCTCAGAAGAGAAAGGCCCAGGGTCCGAGTGGAAATGAGTTTCTGCAGCCTTGGAAGCTGGGAGAACGACTGAGGTTGCCGTGCTAAATTTGGTTCGGGCTCCTCAGCCGCTCACCCTCCACCCCCGTAGAGGAGCGGCGAGCCTGGCTGCCCAGTGAGCCCTCCCTGCAGATGGGCTGGTGGACAGACAGGAGCCCGGGCCTGGAGCCCCTGCCTCAGCCCTTAGAAGTCGGGGGTTTTCTGTTCTTCCTGCCTCGCCCAGAGCCATCACTGGGCTCGGCTTGGAGGAGGGCTGAGCTAGAGAGAGTGGCATTCCGGAGGCTGCCTGGTCTCCCCAGCCCCGAAAAATCCATGTTGTTAACCCGTCCCGCGTTTCCCAGACCTCAGCCCTTCGGCTGTGTCTTCACTTTTACCTTGTGTGCTCGTGAAAGGAACTATGGGTGACTTGATTTTCCTTGAATAGATATGCCCCTTTTTTTTCTTTTTTTTTTTTCTTTTTGTAGAGGCCCGTGCATTTATGTCAAAAAAAAAAAAACATACAGTACAGTAAATGGAAAATCAGCTTCTCTCACCATAAATAGAAGGTTCTAGTAAAAGTAAAAATAGCAACAGAAAACCACCATTAAGCTTTGGTATGGATTCTGTTGCCAGCTGGAGGCTCCGAGCCCTGGGCTCGCTGCTTTTTTAAGTGAGATTATCAGTTTTCAAGATGATTTAGCACTGAGCCAACACTTTCTCCTTGGTGTGTTGGGGTGGGGGTGGGGGTGGCAAGGGAAGGGGAGAGGGGCTGGGTCGGGGCTGGGAGGAGTGCGGCCCTCACGCATGCGTCCTCCTGTGGTCTCTGCAGTGCCCGGAAACGCCCCATCCCCTACTACCGGCCCAGCCCGTCCTCACCCAGCAGCCTCAGCAGCTCCTCCTCCTGGTACAGCAGCAGCAGCAGCAGCCGCTCCGGCAGCCGCAGCTACTCCCGGAGCCAGACTCGGAGCCGGAGCCGCAGCCGGAGCCGGAGCAGGACCCGCACTAGCAGCAGCTCGAGCTCCCGAAGTCCCAGCCTGGGCTCCCGGAGCCGGAGCCGGAGCTACAGCTCTGCGGGCAGCTACGGCAGCACGAGGCGCTAAGCACCAGGGCCTCCGAGAGCCGGCTGCCCCCGGGGGCTCCTTTCGCTCTGCCAGCCTCCCCCTCCCACCTGCCCTCCCCGCCTTCTCCTTGGTGACAGATACTGAGGGCTCCTGGACCCTGCCCCTCCTGCTCCTCCAGGGAGGAGGCAAAGAGAATGCGGGGGTTCCACCCTCTACGACAGGCTGCTACGAGCCTCTACCAGCACCGTTCTGGGGCTCAGCTCAGGCCTGGGCAAATGGAGAGACACATCCTCCTCGGGCACACAAGAAAAAAACCAAAAACTCACGGTTTTGTAAGAAGCAATGGGCCAGGACGGCCGAGACAGCTCTGTTCACCCTCTGCTCATAGGATGCACCCGGAAGGCCATGAGAGATTCACCCCATCTGCCCTCAATCTCCCCTCATGCAGTCTCTTGGCTGCATGTTTATGGGACCCACCCTCCATGTTCAGGGGAGAGTCGAGAGAGGAGGCCCAGCCAAGTTCAAGTCTGAGATAAGGAGCCAGGCCTTCCACCAGCTCCAACAGGCCAGAGCTCAGAAGCCCAGGATCCTGCGAGAGGGAAGGACATAAGAGCAGGGCACGTGGGCAGTGGAGTCGGTGGCAGGTGACAGGAGATGGCAGTGGGTTCTCCAGCGATAGGAGAAAGGAAGGAGTCCTCCACAGCTCCCAGGATCCCAGTGTGGTCACGGGAAGCAGCCTGGCAGGTCCCAGCCACGGAGAGGCTACCACTTGGCTGACCCAGAATGCCTCCTGGCTGGCCACAGCCCTGAATGCCACAAGAAAGGAGACAGGGGAACGGTCGGGAGAGCTTGGACCACAGCGCCACTTCCCAAATTTGCCTCAGCCCCACTGGCTGGCACCAACTTAATTCCACGGGACCATCTGCTGAACATTCCCCAGGGCCATGGCCACACGCCAGTCCCCAGCGCCAGCCAGTCTGGCCTTGCCCTGCAGTTGGCGCCTGCCCACCCTCTCCCCACCGCCCAGGCAGCCACACCCTGGATCCTACCCAGTGCAGCCTGGCTCCCTCCCACCCAGGCACCCTTCGGTCCCAGTCACCCCCCTTGCCACTCAGGAATTTTGCCAGGATGGGGCACAGTGGCTCAGGTTTGGAGGCGAAGGACCCAATTCCAGAGACGCCCTAGGGATGAGGGGCTTGGGTGCTGTGCAGCCTGGGTGCCTGCTGGCTTCAGAAGCTTCCTGTCGGCCTGAGGATGCCCCGCCTTCCCCTGCCCAGGGCTGGGCGGCGAGGGCAAGCTGAGCTCCATCCGAGTCACAAATACCACCAGCTGCTTCAGCTACAGAAGGCACGGAGCACGGGGAGCGAGGGACACGGTCCTTAAAATAAACCTCGGGCATCCCTCTCACCAGCTGCCTGCCTGTGGGTGAGTGTCCAGTTTGTGGTGGCAACAGCAGCAGGACCGGGCATGGAGGGAGAGCAGGAGAGAAGAGAACTCCCAGCTTTGGCCGCTGGAGCTGCAGGGGAAGCTAACAGGAGACCGTCTCTTCACCGCACATCCCAGGGAAATCATTTGGGAAAAATTCCTCGTCCTTAGAAATGGGAGCATCCCCTCCGGCCAGTCCTCCCCCATCGTGTCCAGCCTGCAATCACCCCTCCCCAAAGTCCTTCCTCCATCAGCAGAGAGGAGCAAGGTGGCCCCTGGGCAGCAGTGGACGACCTGGCCTTCCCACGATGGCCTCTGGCCCAGGCCTAAGCCCCGCCCACCAAGACTGACAGATGCCAATGTTGTCACCGCAGAAGGCCGGATGGCAGGTGCCTGGGACGGGAGCAGGTGCCCCGGGAGGCCGTGTACAGTGACTGTAAATAGCCCTGTTTGTTCCCTCTGGACTCCCGTCTCCATCACGGAGACCACGGCTTCCCAGAGCCACCAAACCTCCTTCAAGGGCAGCCAGGAGAGGCCAAGGAGCCTCCCGGGGCCACCTGCATTCATACAACGCTAGGGGACCATTTTGCCTGGAACTCCTAGCAGGTCTTGTATTTATTTTATTTATTGACCTATTTATTTATTTATGTGATCTCTCCCTCCCAGTTAACAGTATTATTTATTTATTTATTTATAGGGAACGATTGTGTGTGTGTGTGTGTACGTATGTACGTATGTGTCTGTCTGGCAGGGGGTGCCGGGACTTCCACATTATTTGTGTGCATCTTTGTTTTCCTCATGCTTCCATGAATGTGGGCAGGGATGCTGACCTTTTCCCGGCAGGCCTCTGAGATCTGAACACCCCGAAGTTGACCTGGAAGCACACCAGTCCCAAGGCTCCCTACTCTGCCTGACGCCAGCAGGGCTCAGGCCGGTGCCGCAGACCCCCACCCACCAGCTAGCACGTCAGAAAGATGAACACGCAGTGGCGTCGCAGCGTCTACACTGAGCAGGAAGGCACAGGCTGCAGCCAGTGGAAGTCCCCCAGGGAGGACAGAGGTGCCATCCCTCGGCACAGCCGTGAGGTTTGTGCTGAGGACTGAAACGAGGCAGCTGCCTTGTGTTGTGGAGCGAGGGACAGGCAGTGTACACGGCGTCTGGGGTCGCACCTGGAACGGGCGAGGGGCTCACACCAGGAGATGGAGACCGGGGAAGATGCGGGTTCCCATTGCATCCGCACTGCCGGGCGGGTGTGCGGGACCAGGGCTACCCAGTGCAGCTGGCTCCCTGGGAGTCACGCGTGCCCCAGCACGTGTCCCTGACTTCTCCCCAAGGCTGCCCTGGAGGGGTTCTCACAGGGCAGGAGACCCAGCAACCCGAGCAGAGGTCTTTGTCTGTGAGTTCTTCTGTTTCTGAAATTAGGGGAAAAACCAAGATGCAAGAAATAACCAGACGTTCCCCCAAGAAGGTCCCTCCCCAGCCCAGAAATCAGAGGCATTTCTCAGGCTCGCCTATAAACCAGCGGCAGTGTCGCCTGGCTGCCAGCCAGCCAGCCAGGGCCCCCTGTGTTGCCGGTCTCTCCCCGCTGCCTCCACACTGCCAGCCTGCCTGGGCAGCTTTGGGGTGGATGGGGTTTTTGCAATTTCCCTGGTTGTTTCCCTGGCAACATGACAACCCTGCCCCGGCCCACGCAAGGAGGGACCTCTGTTCTGGGAAAATTTGAAAGAAACTTGCTTAAACACCTCCTGGGGGAAATTCATTCCCCCCTCCCTCCCTCCTCCCCTTCTCCCCCTCCCTCTCTCCCTCCCTAACTTCCTTTATACTTTCTGAATTTCCACCCAAAGCATAACTAAATAAACTCTTGTGGGGGCACTGGTAACCTTGAATAACCAGACCCCTCAACCATTGCTCGTCCTGTGCCTGCTTCAGCCTCACTACCTTCTGCTCCAGGGGATATGGGAGATTGTCTGAAACCTGCTTATGGGGACACTTGGCCAAAAGCCAATATCCAAAATGGGGGAGTGGGTGTGGCTTGAGGTCAAACAACCTGCAACCCGCACCCGTGACACCCACACACACACACACACACTTCGTGCACTTACGTGGCTCCTGTACACTGCGGGAGTGACGCCTGGCAAAGCCCCACTTTTCCCTGGGCCAAGGTTGTCGTCTCTCTCTGTGGGGTTGGGAGGCTGCCAGGAGGCCCCTGAGATGCACCAAAGAGGCAGCTGCCGGGAGCCAGCGGGAAACCGAGAGAGGCCGGAGTTTCAGGAGCCCCTCAATCGTGGGAGGGGAAACGGAGAGGAAGAAGGGAACCCCCTTCTGCCGCGTCATCATCTCCCCTCTCCACAGATACTCAAAGTAGCCTCATGGGCATGGGTCTTGCTCTACTTTTGCCCTCCAGCCGAATGGAAAATGTAGTCTGCAAATAAAAACAGGACTCCTCAAAAACACGCCTCCCCTCCCACTGGCCAGCTGAGCGCCGCTGAGCCGCTCCCGCCAGCTCGGTTGCCGGCCCGCGCACCTGTGCACTGCTCACACTAACCCCTGCCCTCTCGCCCCCTGCACCCCGGCACTGACGGTGTGGACGCCGCCGTCACTTCCTCTCTTTTTGTGGCTTTGGACTCCAAAGCCTTGTTATTTGGGGCTGTTTCAGGGTTTTTTGTTTGTTTGTTTTTAGGTTGTTTTTTTTTTTCTTTTTTTTTCTTTTTTTTTTTTTTTTGGTGGATGTTGCTTTGCTTTGTGAATTCCATGTTGGGCTCCCTCATTAAACACGGCTTATTTAATGATGTATTTTCCGTTTATTGAGTGCCACTGGGAACGGGACCACCTCTTCCCCAGAATCGCTCCAGGAAATGCCAGCTCCTGGTGCCGCTGTCTGCACAGGGGGCATCGTCACCCAGGTAATGGGTGCTGGAATCGCCGGATAAATTGGAATTGGCAGAAACGGAGGCTTCTGTCAGGCCCATTAAGCTCAAATGGAACTAAAACACTGGTTATCTCCGGGAAAACCTCATTTAGATGGAAATTAATTGAGGAATAAAATGTCTGCACACAAACCAACTTCTATGAAAAAATCAGAACTTGTAAAAAAGAGGGAATGAGAGAGAGAGGAAGAGAGAGAATTTCAATCCCTTTTCTATAACTAAGAAAAGCGATGCCGCATCTTCTAACAAGCTGAGCCAAAGAGACTGGAATGGCATTCCTGTGTGTTTCTCTTGCTTGTGTGTCTATGTGGGTGAAATGGAATGGATTCTGGGCCTCAGTGTTGTCATCTGTAAATGGGGCTTGGTCTAAGTGTTCTTGGCGGGGTGGGGGGCAGGGGTTTTGAGCTCCCTGTGTCCTGTGCTGACTGTAGCTTGTCAGCCAAGAGGAAACAAGAAGGTGGGACCTAGACTTCGTTTGCCAAGTGAGGCCACAGGAGCTGTGTCTTGCCGTGAGGTACGGAGACCTCAAGGTGTCCCCCGAACAGCTTGTGTAGCTTGGGTCAGAGCTTTGATTGTCACCTGTCTCGTACAATCATCCAACAAGCCAGTGACGTGGGTCACAGAGCCACTTTCAGACGAGAAAACTGAGGCCCAGGAAGGGGAACTGACGCACCCAAACTTCTTCCAGCTCTGAGCCGCCTGACTCTGTGCCCCACACCCCGGGGGGCTGTTTCTGGGGGGGCTGGTGCTGTGAGGACTGCCCTCCATTCCGTATCTTGCAGTCGCCGGCCAAGGGCCCGGCAGAATCCATTGCGTTGGCCTAGGGGCCTTGGTGCACCCCCAAGGCCCGTTCTCTATGTTGGAGACCGGGACTCCCACCTGGAAAATCTCAAACCAGAGGATCCCACCACCAGCCGAGCCCCGTCTGGCCAGCCCACCTCCGAGAGAGCATCCACGTGAGAGAGAGAGAAGCTGCTGTGTCCCCCAGCGTCCTGGGACCCCTAACCTCTGCCCGGTGACACAGGGGTCCTGGCTCGCTTGACTTCTGGTCTCCACAAGCTAAGCATAACCTTCCCGGGTTTCCAGTTTCTCAGCCTGTACGAAACACGTCTCTGTTCTAATTAAAGGTCCATGGTATGGTGTTCACAGACACGGCCCTGTGTCCTCTGTCTATCTGGGGTGATGGAAGCAGAGAGGAGGGAGGAGGCAGGGAGCACTTAAGCAGCACTTACTGTATGCCTTACATGTTCACGATGCTCGGTTCACCTCCGTAATCTTCCCAATAAGCCTTACATAGTTTGATTTTGGATCCACATTAGCACATCCATGGAGTGTCTCAGACGCCCTTTACCGAACAGTTCTTTGGTGCTCTCCTTGGGCCTCGGCAGTCAACATTCGCCATGAATAATAATAATAATAATAATAACCTTTCAGGGATCAGCGAGCAAGCGCCAAGCCTGGCCTGATGTGCTTCATTCTCGTGACGACAGCTTCTGGCCCCACGTGGCCCCAAGAGGAGACCGCGTGGCTGGCTGGGTTTTGAGCCCTTTGGGCTGTTCCAGCTGCACCACTTCCCCCACCCTCAGGCCGTCCACAGGGACCCTGGTGACTTTTCTCCAGAAAAAACAGCTGCCAGAGGTCGTGCCCGTGACCCCTGGGCCTCTCGGTGCCTTGCTTTGTTCTGTCTCCCGGGTCCCGGAATCCATGTTTGTTCTCCCAACATTGGTCAGGACGGGGCCCCTGGCCCTCCCAGCCCTGTTTCCAGAGAAGTGGCTGCCCAGGGATGGAGCGGAGGGCGGGTGCGGCCAGCACCCCACCTTCACAGCCCCGGGGCACTCACAGACAGCACCGGGGAACAAGCACAAGACTGGGAGGAACATCAGAAAATAAAACTTCCCAAGTGATCAGGGCCACGACTGCCGGCCTGGCTTTGCTGCCTGATCCTGAGCAATCCAAGCTCCTCTGGGGGACTTGTTACTCTCCCAGCTATGAGTACTGGGGCGGGGCAGCCGGGGCAGTGGCTCTCAATCCTGGCTAGACATTAGAAGCACCCATGAATTTTACAAAACCATACAAATTCCAGTCCCGTTCTATTCCGAATCAGAAGCATCTTGGAAGATGGGAGCCAGAAAACTCAGTGCCCCGTAAGGCCCTTCTTCTACGCAGCCAGTACTGAGCACTAAGTTAGAAGGCACCCACAGTGTCATCCAGACATATACCAGGGTGAGCTGCAAGTAGCCACAGGGGTGACCACAAGCCCCACACCTGGGTGAGCATTTGGCACAGCGGTTAACTCACTACTTGGGGCACCCACGTCACATATCAGAGTGTTTGGGCTTGAGACACAGCTACCCTGCATCTCATCCAGCGGCCTGCTATTGTGCACCTGTAGAGGCAGCAGGCGATGGCCCAAGTGCCTGAGACTCGGCCACCCATGTGGGACAGGGAGACGGGGTTCCAGGCTCCTGGCTTTGGCCTGGTCCAGTCCCAGCTGTTGCAAGCATCAGCTGGAATCTCTCTTTTAAATAAAAAAAAAAGAAAGCAAAATTTAAAACATTTTTAATTAAAATAAATGAAAGCAGGCATAGCAAGAACAGCCACCACTAATATAGCTAATACAGGGCTGCCACCTGCCAAGTATACGTCTAAGTTTTCCATGCGATGAACGTGAAAAACTTACATATTCATCTTTCCACAGCCTCTAAGGTAGATGCCACTGTCACTGCCTGTCCTGTTTTACAGGTACAGAAACTTAGACACAAACAGGGCACCTTGCTATCAAGTGGCACAGCTCGATGCAAGGTCCAAAGAGGCGTTTGAAATAGCCTTGGAGGGTCAAGAAGGGCATCACAAGAAAAGTGACCTCCAGGGGCCTGCGTTGTGGCATACAGGCACCTGTTCAAGTCCCGGCTGCTCCACTCCCAATCCAGCTCCCTGCTAATGTGCCTGGGAAAGCAGCAGAAGATGGCCCAAGTCCCTGAGCCCCAGTACCCATGTAGGAGACCCAGATGAAGCTCCTGGCTCCTGGCTTCGGTCTGGCCTAGCCCTGGCCATTGCAGCCTTTTGGGGAGTGAACCAGTGGATAGAAGAATTCTCTCTATCTATCTATCTCTGCCTTTCTTCTTCTCTGCAACTCTGCCTTTCAAATAAATAAATAAGACAGTGGATGAAAGCCAGGACTTGGTGGGCAGAAAAACGTGGATTGGAGCCAGACTCTGCCGGTGCCCAGCAGTGTGTCTCTCTGTAAGTGATTTCACCGTTCTGAGACTCGGGTGCCTCATCTTTCCAATGGGGAGAGAGGGAGCATCAGCCTCAAAGGTGGCCATGCAGACCAGAAGAGGTGCTAGGCGTAAAACACTCAGCAAAATGCACCATTGAGTTAGTGCCCTTGTTACTGACCATAAATGGAGGTGGGGGCCGTCCAGTTGCCTGGGTAGGCACGTTATAAGTTTCTAGAATTCCAGTCCCCTTGGCAAAAGGCCTCTTACACCTTTCATCACCCGGAGCACGCCCAGCTGCGTCCTCCCAGAAACACCTCTTCTCCACGCAGAACAATCTAGAGTCTCCCGTGAACCTGGCAATGCTCCCGCCCATGTCCCCACCCTGACACTTCATCAACATTTCCACTCGAGTGGTTCCAGGAGTGGAAAGACACGGCGCACCCGTCCCACCTCTCCACACACGGCGGGCTCACACAGGCCAGCCACGCCCTCGGAATGCCGTCTCTACCCACCCCAGGGCCAGGGGAATGCTGTCTCTTCCCAACCCACAGGCCAGGTGATTCATGGAGTTTGTTTTCTTCTTGTCTTGTTTGCTTTTTCCTTTGTTGTGGAAACTTGTCCAATACCCTTTCAAGGTAGAACACTGGGTTCCTTTGATGCTCTTCCGGAGAGACTCAAATCTAAAGCCAAGATAAACAACACCAACCACACCAGAGCCATATTTCCCATCGGAAAGGCGTTGGGGCAGGTGTACACACACTCACACATTCTCATTCACACATGCACTCATACACACACACACACACACATGCACACACACACACACACACACACACGGGTGCAGAGTTTGGACTTTGCCCCTGCAGCGTCCCTTGCCTCAAACCCAGTTGCTAGACGAAGGTGCCAAGCTACAGGACTCCACCACCACCCGCCCTGCTGCCCTAGCGCCGTAGAGTCTGCGGTGGGTTGTCTGGAATCGCCAGGGACGTTCTATGCAGGAAAATCTCACCCTTGGGTGTGAAGGAGACCGTATTTCCCACCGGTTTTCCAAAGGAACTTAGGCTCCTTCTTCCAAGTCCGTCTTCACTCTCTCAGCACAAGCATTTCCAGTTGCCTCCTGGTCGTCACTCCACCTCCACTCACGGGGGAAACCCTCCCATGGTTAGTCAGGTTCGTAGTCAGCCAGGATACTGACGGCATTTCCCAGCCTCCTCTGCGAGCAGCCCTGACCACGTGACCAACTTCGGCCAATGACAGGTGGGTAGAAGTTTCGTGTGGCAGTTTCCACACATTTTTTTTTTCTTGCTTGCTTTTTTTAAAGATTTATTTATTTACTTTGAAAGTCAGAATTAGAGAGGAAGAGAGAGAGAGGAATCGACTGGTTTGCTCTCCCAAACACCTACCTACAGTGATCAGGGCTGGGTCAGGCTGGATCCAGAAGCTAAGAACTCAATGCAGGAATCCAGGTCTCCCATGGGGGGGGGGGTAGCAGGGACCCAACCTCTTGAACCACCAGCGCCCCCCTCCCCACAGGAACGGTCATCTGCTCTTCCCCGAGGAGACGGTCAGGAGGGTCTGGGAGTCCTGGGAGGGAACTCCACACCCAGGAAGCCCCCACCCAGCAATGTTCCAGAAAGGGTCAGCGGAAGAGACACAGGGCCCACAGCCCACATCTGTCCAATCTCTGGTGAGCACGCAAGCCGGGCTGTCAGTCCTCTTCATCGGCTCGGCTTGCGCGCCTGCCGGCTGCTCTGTCTCATGTCTGCGCTCCCTCTTGCGTGAACACCAGCACCCCCAGGAGCTGCTCGCCGCTAACAGAAGAGCTGGGTTTTATTTCTCATCCATGCCTCCCGTGGGCCTGCAGGGACAGTCCCATTAGTGATGACGATGATGACGATGCTCACCAAGTGAAACCACCCAAGGAGCCCGGCTGCGTGGAGCCAAGGCGCCCCCATTGGCAACAAAGGGCTTCAAAGTGGCAGTGAGTGACCGCCATCATTCACCACAGCCAGTGACGCGGCTCCTCCCAGTAGTGTAAGAGGCTGCATCGCTGTGCCCAGGAAGTGGAGGAGGAGGAGTTGGACACGTCTGCAAACAACAGTAAAGACAGCCACACAGCACTACCTGTACTGAAGCTCGCCTGCGGGCTCTGCGCCATCCTGGGTGTCAGGGATCCAGCCAGGAGCAACAGTCACAGGTCCCCACCCCCTGCCCTCGTGAAGGTCACACGCTGATGGGCAGGTGGATAAGAATCAACTCAAGATGCAGGACACACCTCTGAGTTAGTGGTGGCGAGGGCTCTGAAAACACACTAACCCCGCAGAACGCACGGCCAGAGGAGGCGGCTGTGTCGGTGACACTGAAGCCCCACGAGTCACTTAGGAGAGCAACCACGGGGAGGCGTGGGGAAAGGGGGTTCCGGGCCGCCGGGCCAGCAGGAGCCAGGACCCTGCTGACTGCTGCTGGGTTTGCTCAGACGCTGAGAACTGAGTCCCAGCGAGCAGGTGGGAGAGGAGCCCTGGCGTTCTTGCTGAAACTCAGCAGCAAACCGCTTGCGGTGTCTGCTGCTACCCATGGAAGCAGGAACCTTGGCCTCTCTCACCGCTCCCAGAGCCCAGTTACTTCTCTGCAGTGAGATCGTAGTAAACACAGAGCGAACGGGCCAGCGAGTCTCCCACCCCTGCCTCTGCCCCTCCTCCTTGCCGTGAGCTGGGCTGCCCGGAGGGAAAGACCTCTGGACACAGCCATCCCCGGGCCCAGCGCCGCTGCTCCTCCACTAAGCCATGACTGCCTATGCTTGAGCCGGTCAGTCAGGAGCCTGGAGCAGACCAGGATTTTGCCCGTGCCGCCACGTCTGGGTCGACTTTTATTCCCTACAGCAATGTCTTCCAGCTCCACAGTCCAACATCGACAGGGGCCCGAGGCAG